CTTACACTTGATGCTACAGACAGTCCTGAAATGATAGCAAAAAATGAAATAGAAATACTGAAGAAAATAGTTCAACTACTGAAACCTTTCGAGTTCGTAACCAAAGAATCTTCAGGACAGAATTATGTCACACTTTCCAAGATCATACCTATGGTTAACTGCCTAACATCGCAAGTGAGTAAATTTTCTACAACTCTTGATTGTGTCACCCAACTACAAACGAAACTTCTGGCGGAGTGTAGTAAAAGATTTGGTCTCATTGAATACAACCCCTACGCAGCTTTAGAAACTATCCTCGATCATCGCTTCAAGATTCTTCATTTTCAAGATGCGAACGCTTGCGGTCGGGGCAATTTTTAACTAAAAAGTCTTATTCAAGTAGACGCTAATACTAGCTCCGAAGAAGACGCTGTTAAAGAAGATTTTGACTTTTGGTACCAACACAAAAAGGCTGCGATTGGACAAAAACGAAAGCTTTGATGTAGAAGAAAAGGTTGCTTTGTACAAGGAAAGACCTATTATCGTCTCATTAAAAATGATAAACTTGATAACTTCTTCCAGAAATATAGCACTGTTACTCTGCAAAAATGCTGTTGAACAGTGTTATAATACAGACATTTTTTATTAATTAATTAATTTGTATGAAATAAGTACAAACAAATAAAATACGTACATATTGGACCTTATACTTTTTCTTGTTTTTTGAGGGTCTGTACTAGTAAAACCTGTTTTAAAACTTGGAAGTTTTTCTTAAAAAATCTTAAAGATAAGTCTAAAATCAATAATGATAGTCACATAAGTTAATTTGGCACATATGTGATAGCGTTTTTTAATACAAACAAACATAAACATATTTCAATTCTTATATAGGTACAAATATCGATATAAGTAGGTATCGATACTTTTAGCCCGATACTTTGTAGGTATCGATACTTTCTTTCGATGCTACTTCCAAGTACAGGTATCGATACTTCTATGGTATCGTTTCATACCTACTCGTAACTAAAAAATAATGAAAGAATTATTAGTTAATAATGTTGCTGGTCATATTGTGCATCTAGCTGACAATGTAGGCCGTTGAAATTTTCTTGGAAAACTTTAAATTTAATATAAAAATTTATGTACTTACGTTTCTGGTTCTGCCGACCAATTTCTTTGGTACTTCAATTGTTAAACTGAGCAAATTTGACGTTTCTTGACTTGCCGGCCATTTGGCTTTTTTCTTCAATTGTCAAACTCAGAAAATTTGACATTTCTTGTTTGACACTTTATGGACCTCAAGCAACAACAAAATACATGTGTTTGTTGTATTCGCTCTAATGGGCTGTTTTTGCTTACGCGTAAAAGCACATTTAGCGCATTGGGCTCTAAATTCTACTCTAAATGTACATTTATCCATACCAAATTCGTCACCTAAATGCTTCCTTTTTTGCATTAAGTATATAAATGCTAAAAGCAACCCTGTCATCTTCCAAAATTTCCCCGATTCGAACATGGTTGAATGAGGAAAAGTGGCAACATTGCTTTTTCCAGTATATAGTGGCCTACTGTGTTTTAGTGATCGCCGATAGAGTTTTCATTCATTGTTTTCCATTATTTGGATAAAGAAAAGTTAAACAAATTCAACGTCGATGTGATGCTGATAGAAATCTGGATCAATTTGAGATCAACTCTGTTTTGTTTCCTAATTAAATGAGGAAATTTTAATTGACAGCACCGACAAATGAACATATACACAAACAAATGTTCGGTTATGGTTAAAGCAATTGAAGTTTTTGTATTGAATTTTTGGTTTAAAATTTATTTTTCTCTTTTCAGTAGGGTTTTTGCATATTATCTTCTGCGTGAGAATTGATCGTAATAGATGTGGATCTGAATAAGCGACTGGGACACGGCTATTTGTCAAAAGCATACGATTTCGAACTCGCGTAAATATATATTTGCAAAATGCGATAGCTAAACGCTCTTCGAAAATGTTCGAAAGTGCTAAATGTCGCATTTTAAATTCAGCAAAAACGCTGTATAATGCTGCTACCTGTTTATTGTACCATGCACTGTACATACTAGGGATGCCAAAATATCAGGAAAATTGGGATTTCGGGATATTTTTAGGTAATTCCGGGATCTCGGGATTTATCCCGGGATTCAAATTGAGTCATAAATTTTTTGAATATGAGTAAAAATTCAATATCTGAAAGTTTAAACATACCATTAAATAAAACTTATTTAAAATTTACGATAAACTGATTGTAAAACTCATATATCGCTAGCTTAGAGTGAAAAGTTGCTAACTTCACTTTTAATGAAAAATCATATTTTGATATAGGAGGCTAGATAAATTAAAATTGCATCGTTTCGAAAAGGGTAAAGGTCCTTGTTTTATGTTTTCTCGTTTATATTCAATGAAAGGAAAATTTGCTGAGGCCAAAAAATACTCCGAAAATTCGATAAGGCCAAAAAAGTTCGAAACCTTTTAATAAATATCGAATCCCTCCGATTTGTATGGAGTTTTGCTTTGCTTTAAACAGGCAAAATGTTGTATTCAAAATTTGCGAAATACTTGAAGAAAATGGCTATACGAAGTCTTTTCCTCTCCTGTACAATTTTTAAATTGGGACTTAGCAACTTTCCACTCTACGCTAGCGATATTTAGGTAATCAGACAAATTTTAAAGTAAACATTTTTTTAATTGTATTTAAAAAATGTGATTGGGGAACGTATAATAGTAATAATAATAATACATTGGCGCTTACACATATGTTAGTGTTTGGCCGAGCTTCTCCTCCGATTTGTGGCGTGCGCCTTGATGTTGTCACATAAAGCGGAGGGACCTACAGTTTTACGCCGACTCCGAAAGGCGATTGTATTTTTATGAGAAGCTGTGTTTCATGTCAGAAATACACTCGACGGTTTACCATTGCTTGCCGAGGGACGACCGCTGTTAAGAAAAACCTTTTTTCTATATTTTTTGCGATGTTGCGTTGACCAGGGTTTGCACCCAGGTGCTGCGGAGTGGAAGCGCGCACTGCTTACCACTACACCACAGCGGCCGACAACGTTGGCGAACGTATACATCACAAATAATAATGTAAATACCAGGTACTTTGAAAGTGACAATTTTATAAAAAAAAAACATAAAACAAAAATATACAAACACAATTTCTCTAAACATGTTTATTCTGATCTATAAATAAATGGCGAATGGAGAATTTTTTGCCATTTTTTTCGCAATTTATTCGAAATTTTAAGGGTGTACGAGTCAAACGGATCTCAGAATCGGATTCAGCGGGTCGAAATACATGTTGGTAGTTGGGTCTGGTTAAAAACACACACCCCTTTTTTGCCGGTGTTGTTATTATTGCACTTAAAATATTTTCGTAAGAGCAGCAAATCATTCAAAGCGGAGTCTTCTAAGCTTGACCTGCAGTTTTTACATACAAAACCTACTGATGAGAAACATCCCTGCCAGCCAAAAGTGGTGACAAATCTGGTGAAACCGCGGGTTTCGGTCACTTCAAAACTGGTGACAAAACTGGTGACATTTGTATGGGCGGTGTGCAGATTGTCACCACTTTCCCCCTGTACGTGTGAGCCTTGCATCACAGTCGCACTCACTCAGATACTTCGTAAGGAAAACATATAGCTGCACTCGTCTAGCATTGCCCACTTCAGCTGGCGCAGGGTTGCATTCTCTTCACAGCGAATTCAAAATAACCTTAAAAACTTTAAATAAAAAATCTTAAAATTTTTTTTTATTTTTATTTTGCAAAATTTATTTTTCAAAATACATTGTTAACCTAATATAAATAGTTAGTAATCAATATTATGAATAAAAATTACAATTAACATTAATAATAAAGATATTTTTACATACATATGTGGTTGCTTAATTGCTTATTATTACTACTACTCGTTTGCATATAGCTGTTTTCAAAAGTTGCAAAATTTCTTTAAAAATTTAAGCGATTTTAACAGTATTATAATCAAAAGAAAGGTAATCGATTTATCTTTCTTTTGATATATATTAAAAGTTGCAAATCATTTATAATGGTTCACAAAAATTCAGTTTCATTACAATTTTGCAAAATTTGATTGCGTTTTTCCGACTTATATATAGACGCTTTCAAAAGTTGCAAAATTTCTATAAAAAAGTTAAGCGATTTTAACAATGTTATAATCAAAAGAAAGGTAATCGATTTACCTTTCTTTTGATGTATATTAACAGTTGCAAATCATTTATACTGGTTCAAAAAAAGTCAGTTTCATTACAACTTTGCAAAATTTGATTGCGTTTTTCCGACTTATATATAGACGTTTTCAAAAGTTGCAAAATTTCTATAAAACAGTTAAGCGATTTTAACAATGTTATAATCAAAAGAAAGGTAATCGATTTACCTTTCTTTTGATGTATATTAACAGTTGCAAATCATTTATACTGGTTCAAAAAAATTCAGTTTCATTACAACTTTGTGCAAAATTTGATTGCGTTTTTCCGACTTATATATAGACGCTTTCAAAAGTTGCAAAATTTCTATAAAAAAGTTAAGCGATTTTAACAATGTTATAATCAAAAGAAAGGTAATCGATTTACCTTTCTTTTGATGTTTATAAACAGTTGCAAATCATTTATACTGGTTCAAAAAAATTCAGTTTCATTACAACTTTGCAAAATTTGATTGCGTTTTTCCGACCTATATATAGACGCTTTCAAAAGTTGCAAAATTTCTATAAAAAAGTTAAGCGATTTTAACAATGTTATAATCAAAAGAAAGGTAATCGATTTACCTTTCTTTTGATGTTTATAAACATTTATACTGGTTCAAAAAAATTCAGTTTCATTACAACTTTGCAAAATTTGATTGCGTTTTTCCGACTTATATATAGACGCTTTCAAAAGTTGCAAAATTTCTATAAAAAAGTTAAGCGATTTTAACAATGTTATAATCAAAAGAAAGGTAATCGATTTACCTTTCTTTTGATATTTATAAACAGTTGCAAATCATTTATACTGGTTCAAAAAAATTCAGTTTCATTACAACTTTGCAAAATTTGATTGCTTTTTTTCGACTTATATATAGACTTTGACTATGTGTAGCTTCTAGCGGCCAGTTGCATAAATTACTTATATCCATGGAGCCGCTCGAGAATAACACATTGACATCATGTGTAACCAAATTTTCGGAATTCGATAGTGGCGCTTGTAGCGTTATGTCTTGTGACTGGCTTGATGCAGCAGTAGTGTCTAAAACAATTATCTCATCTGGCGCTTGCAAACATTCGTAATTTTCCTCATCCTCAGTTAGATTAAATTGCAATTTGATGAGTTTCCGCTAAATATTAAAAAAATAAATAAAACAATTATAAGTATGCAAAATTGAAGTTCATTAGTAATTAAGCAACTACCTCGTCTGAATCGAGACATTTCTAAGGATGCTTTGTCAGACTGTCCCTTGCCCTTTCATCCAACATGTTGAAGACCTTCATTATCCAATGACTCCGATATATACAATCTAAACGAAAAATTAAAAAAATTTAAATAGCTAAAAATAAGTAATTTATATATTAAAATATATATTTTTTATAAACGTAGCTGCTGATGCTCTAACACGTCTTTTGCACAGCAATCAGAAATTAAAATAAAATGGTAAAATTATTATTGTGGATGCAACCAGTTAGATTCTGATATCTGAAAAATAAAGTAACAAATTATTATTTCTCAAATGAAATATAATTCATAAATAATGGATTTTATTTATACAAAAAGCAGATGACTATAGTTTAGTAAAAATCAGCTTATTTAGATAAAATCATGCTCATATTTACAATACTATTAATTAAGTTAATCCAACACCAATTTAAACATTTCAAATAAAGTTTAAAAAATATATTAATATTTTTAAAAAGGGACAGAAATAGGGTGAAGAAGTTTAAAATATACAAAATTATATAACACATTCAGGAAGCAAATATGATGTTAGAAAAAATGTTTTTTTAGTATTTACACTAACGAAGCACATAGCAAATAAAAAGAAAGTAATGTAAGTATTTAATTAGGTTATTTTCTTATAAAAATATAATTCATTCTTTGACTAAATCTTTAAAATTATTTCGACCACTGTATATTAATATTTACAGCTATTTTTTTTAATATTTACATTTACGAATCAATTACATAGAGTGCTTCACAATTATGCATCACCCACTTATTGAGAAGTTGCGACCAATAATTTGTATATTTTTTAATTTTTTTATGAAAAATTAAGTTCATTCTTTAACAAACACCATATCGACAGCCGGTTCGAAAGCAGCCATTCTCAGAATTCGGTTGAACGCCCTATCTCAGAATTTGGTTCAAAAACTCCGTATCTCAACTGAAAAATTGTGTGTACATATATTGAAAATAAGATAGGGCGAACTGGCTGTCGATATGGTGTTTGTTAAAGAATGAACTTAATTTTTCATAAAAAAATTAAAAAATATACAAATTATTGGTCGCAACTTCTCAATAAGTGGGTGATGTATAATTGTGAAGCACTCTATAGAGAAAATAAGAAAAAATTAATTACTATTTTGGCATCTTCTTCGATTTTGCTTATATCTATTATGACTTAAAACTACATAGTGCTTGATTGCTAAAATTTTGTCAGAGTGCATACTTGCAAATGCGGCTGTTAGTATTAAAAAATTAGTAGTGTAATATTGTTTAAATATCACAACACTTACCGAGAACTAGCTCCACAGTTTTTAATTTAATCAGTGGCTTTTTCCCAGCCTTTCCATCGAAGTTGTACAGCCACACCAACTCGTCGCTGAATAACGACTGCAGCACTTTCTCCACTGTACCCCTGGATGTTTTTAGCTGCATGATGATGCCCACCTTTAAATGTATTAGAGTTTATACATATAAATATATACATATATATATTTGATAAAAGAAAAAAACTATACTCGTTGTTGAGCAGAACTGTAACTTACCATAGCGTCAGCGTGTGCCTTGTTTTGAAGGTGCTCCTCCACCTTATGCAGTGTTCCCTCCGATGACATTGGTAGCAAACTTTGCAGTAAAGTTTGCTCTTCACTTACCAAGTCACCGGTGATTCGGCTTACACTGCGGTGGGTTTTCGCAGAGAGCACCTTACATTCACGCAGCAGTTGACCCTGCGCTTGAACTTCACAACGCTCGGGCATCTGAAAATAAAATAAAGTGTAAAACAAAGTTTAAACATTTGTTAAATTTAAAAAGCCTACCTTCTCGGCAAGGGCGTTTTCTACGGCGGAAAGCCTTTTTAATATTTCTTCTTGCCGAGTCTCCATTCTTGCAAGGGCAGCCAAAATTTGTTGTTGCGCTGTTGAATTTCATAAAATTTATGTGTAAATTAAAAATACAATCAACATATCTATGTTGCTAGTTTAATGTACCTGAGTCATTATCCACGGCAGGTTGGGTGGTCATACGGTCGAGGAAAGGCTGGGACACGTCGAAACGGCGCGATACTCCAGCTACAATGAGAACGTTTCACTTAGGAGAGTTTCACTAATATAATGAATACTGATTCTTCTTACCATTTGCCTGACTGATATCCGGCTCCTCCTCTCCATCAATTATAAAACTAAATTCCATTTCTTCCTAAGTAAAATTATAAATAAGTTATGTAACATAGGAATTAAAATAAATTTATTCCCTACTGGAATAGCAAAATACTTATGGTCTATATCTTCTCTCTTAATAATTTGAATGTCTTCATCTATAATTTGAGCTACAAAAATACCTAAATCAGATGAGGACACCACGGGCTCCCTAAAAATGTCCCCAACCTTTGTCAAAACTACAACGCCAAAACTGTCTGTTTGGGTTTGTTGGTTGACAATTTTTAGGGATCCCGTTTTTTTACTATAGAAGAAACTATCTTTTTCTTTTTTACAATTTATAATAAACTTATCTATTTGTGTAATTTTGCTAGAATCCGTAATATCTCTTCGTTCTTCTATTCTTAGAAATAGTTGCTGCAATATTTTATTTGGATTATTAATAATTTTTTTTAAATATTGCATATAATTTTCAAATTTATATGCAGAAAAATTGTCTAAAGGACCAAATTGTTTAACGCAATCACTTAAATGCAAAAGACCATGGACATTGAAACTGATTAAATGTTCGCCATAAAAATTACTAAACAACTTTACAAATTCTTTTAACATTTCATTAGCGACATTAGATTCTACTTGACAAGACTTCTCACAAGAGAGAAGGCGAATACCGACATGCAACAAAAGAAAATGGTAATACAAGTTATTCGGTATGCAGTCTTTCAAAACAAACAACCCGGAGTACAATAAAAATTGCCGGTATTCTGTCGACTTCCAGCTGCTTATTTCATTTAGATCTCGACTGAGTCTGGAAAATTCAGAGGGAACAAACTTATTCAGAAACAATATTTTTTCATTCATCTTTGTTACGTTCCCTCTTTTAATAAGCAACTGGAGTAGTTTTTTAGTTACTCCTAAGTCAACTAAATGCATGGGTTCTAACGGAAATTGAGAAACCATGCCAATATTTACAGATTCTAGCAAGATTTCACACTGTCTAAATTCGTCTAAATGATAGGTTACATTTACTCTATTTTTAAACGAACTATCTGTTCTTAATTCTCCTACGTTTTGAGAAAAACAGACCCTTCTTTGTAAATACTGTCCTTGTTGAAGACATTTAGGGCAGCTGTTTTTCCCAGTGTGTGACTTCACGCCAGTTATAAAGGCGCGGGCTGGCGTGTCACATGTAAAAAGTCTTACACTAAATTCTTTTAAAACCTGCTTAGATCCCACCCTTACACCATTCTGACTTAGAATTTTTATCTCTTCGCAAAACTCAGCAAGAAAATTATTAACATGGGATGGCTTACTCATTCCTGAGAAGCAGGCAATAGTAAATGTGACCGAATTAGGAAAAGCTTCTACATGCCCCAAAATGGGCCACAATGCCCTATTAGAGCTTTTAAATAATTTCAAACCATCTATACAAAAATCAAAATCTTTGAAATTAAAATTATATTGTATTCCTAAATACAAAAATTCACCTTCAGGAAAAGGTCGAATTTGAACTATTTTTCTACTTGTACCCAAAATGGTTCTTGCAGTTAAAGGTAACCCGTTAAGTCCAGCATTATGTAAGGTTTGTAGGAGGTCCGTTAGGCTATTTTGCGAAATATTATTTTTGATTGCCCACGTTTTTAACCCCCTACAAATTTCCTCGCTTAGGTTTTTGTTTGCAGATTCTTCAGTGCTATCATCACTTTCGACATCTTCAAACAAAAACCTGTCATCATCGCTATTATATTCATCGGTATCTAATTCAGGAAACACTTCCATAGTGCTGGACGTTAGATCACTATTTATTCCGCGGCAAAATGCTTCTCTACTCGTGGACGGAATATCATCGCTTTCTAACCCAGAAGTCGGTTCATTCAGTTTGCGAAACTTCGCAACTGTTGCTTTATAATAAGCTTTTTCCTTACTTATAAGGTTAGAAAGCGTTCTTTTATGCATACCGTAATAAATAATGGTGTAAAGGTACGATCTAATAATAATTCTATTAATAATGATAATAATAGCAATTAAAGTGGTAAGGGCTAAGCTCAGGACCTTACCGGGGTCACACAGGGCGGATCGTGAACGGCCTACTCCGGTAGGTTAGCTGCGAATAACCAATAAGCAGTCCCAGACCAAGAGCGGCAGGAGACGAGGGCCTGATTTAAAAGATCAGAAATGCTTGATGAATCTCCTGTGTCCGGGCGAACAGATGCCGCCCCCCCAAAAAGCATCCCAGGATTGAGACCAGTTAGATCCTGTTCATGGCATACTGGAGCATGTATACGATTAGTCTGATATTGGGCTGGCGAGAGCAGTATTCCGCCACTTTAGTATGTGAGGGTGACACCTCACAGAAATGGCTGGTGGGCTAATGCTGCGATCGCCTCCGTCTCGTTAAAACCCTGGCAGGTCTTCAAGTACGTTCAAAACACGTCGCCATTTAGTTGGCCGCACAGGTCCAGTTGAGATTTACTCCTGGTTTTGCGCTGTCTTGGCTCTGAACACAATATCCCATAAGGACTTGTGTCAACCCTCGCGATGGCCTGCTCCTTTGAGAGAAGGGAACTTCGGGACACTTTAAAGCGACTGTGCTACGTGTGGAGATAGCGGCTTGAAGCGGAGACCCAATTGATTGAAAATGATTAAAACAAAACCAATAAATGGAACCAACGTCGATGACACGGAGGAAGAATGCAGCGCATTCAGGAAGAGCAGTAGAGTCGTGCGCTCCCCGCCACAAACTCCTCTGCAGGCAAATTCCGGCCCCACGAGCACGGAGAAAGCCGCCGGCGTGGCGCAGAAGGCTACACCTTGCCAAACGGCAACTCCCGGCAGCCGGGATAGTCGTCTTCAAACGCCGGCTGCTGCAAACAGCGACAAGCATGTCACCGCAAGCTTGGGAACTTGCGAAGGCAATGAAGATGAGCAATTGGCCCAGATTCGGCTCGTCTTGAAGAAGATGCAGAGCGCTGTGTCTAAGCAAAAGAATGTGTCCATGGACATAACAACAGGTATGGCCCAAATCGAGGAGAGCTTCAATATATTAAGCTACCTCCGAGAGCAGCGCCGGAAGGGGCCTACCCTTTCCGAGCTGCGGAAGGTTGGCCCTGGCTCGCAAAAGAGAGGTCGAACTCGATCCGACTCCCCTACAGGCGAGCCGGAAAAGAAAAAAAATACTACTGCTAATAATAATAATAGTAGTAAAAACATTATTATTAATAATCGTAATAATAATGGCAATAATAACAACAATGCACAGAAAACCGTACCAGACAATCAATGGAAAACGGTTGGAAAAAGCAGAAAGCCCAAGCCAGGGCCAGCGCCTGGTGAACCCTTGGTCAATAAGGGCGAGGCGACCAGCCGCAAAAAAAAGAAGAGGGTGAGAAAAAAGAAGAGTCTCGCCAAATTAATAATTAAGCCAGCTGAAGGCAAAACCTATGCAGAGGTGCTGGGAACGATACGCGGTAAGCTCCAACCCGAGAAGACGGAGACCGTAATTCGATCTGTTCGGAAAACCCGCGAAGGCGGCGTGCTCATCGAAATGGAGCGCTGTGGCAACCACTCAGCATTTAAGGAAAATGTGTGCACTGCCATTGGCCAGCTTGGAGACGCCCGTATTCTCACTAGACGTTTACGTCTAGAAGTTCTGGGCATGGACTGCCTAACCACGGCCCCAGAAGTGGAGAACGCTATACGCGGGGAGTTAGGAGACAAGATGAATGGCCAACTTCGCGTCTCTCTCCTCGCTGTAAACTCGCGAGAACAAAGAATGGCTGTGGTGGAAATCGACGAACTGCCAGGCCGGACTCTTATTGAAAAGGGGAAGCTGCGAGTAGGTTGGATTATCTGCCGCGTCCGAGAGCGCGCGGATGTCCAAAGGTGTTTCCGCTGTCTGGGGTATGGCCACAAAAAGGCGGCATGCAAAGGCCCAGACAGAAGCAGTTCATGCTGGAAATGTGGTCAGCAGGGCCACATAGCCTCTGCGTGTAAAGAAAGCCCAAGCTGCTACCTGTGCTCGGCAGGAGATGGACAGAAAAATGCCCATCACCTGCCCGGGTCGGGAGCGTGCAAGGCCTTCAGGGATGCCCTTGCTGAGGCTAAGACAAAGCTTGGGAGAATATGATCAAATTTATACAAGGCAATATGAACAGGAGTAGGGTAGCTGATGACCTGCTGGACCAATTGGTTCTTGAACAAAGAGCAGACGCTGTCATCATCAGTGAACCCTATAGAACAAAGGAAACCTGGCATGTTGACCAATCAGGCTCGGCCGCGATATGGATTGCTAACCCCAACCATCGCGCAGAGAGCAGCGGGGTCGGACGCTGCTACGTCTGGGTTAAAGTGGCGCAAATCACTCTGGTGAGCTGCTACCTGTCTCCAAACGACACAGCCCCTGTCTTCAGCGGAAAGCTCGAAGAACTTGAAGACGAATTGCGCGATATAACCGGCCACATAATTGTTGCTGGAGATTTCAACGCAAGAGGCGTGGAATGGGGTATGCCCCAAACAAACACCAGGGGAAGACTGGTCCTTGACATGGCAGCCCGCATTGGCCTGACCATCCTCAACACCGGAACGACCCCTACATATCGAAGGCCGGGTTTTGGATACTCTATCCCTGACATAACCCTGGTCTCAGAAAGCCTTCTTCGAAGGGCTGACGGATGGAGAGTGATGGAAGACCTGAGTGGTAGCGACCACAACTACATCACCTTCCAAGTCACTGACATCACGCGAGGGCAAACACGTAGTATCCCTCGCAGGAAACCAGGATGGAACCCGTCTAGGGTCGATGTTCGCAAGTTCGATACGTCACTCCTAGCAGACTCCCAAGGCATTTCACCCACAATGGGAGAGATCCACAACAGGGAGTCTTGTACTAAGCTGGTCAAAGAAACTATGCGCTGCATTCACCGGGCATGCAAAGCCTCAATGCCACAGAGGAGAGCATGGTCAGGTAAAAAGCAGGTTTACTGGTGGAATGACCGAATTGCTGAGCTGCGAAGGGCCTGCCATAGAATGCGGAGACTTGCAACGCGCGCTCGTGGTAGACCC